GTATGGGATTAACATTTAAAAAAATAATTTTTCAAAAAATAAAATATACATATATCGCTACGTGCGATTATACGCATGAAAATGTTGCCACTACAACGAATAATTGATTTTCTACATAGATGACATATATGATTCATTGATCAGTGATTTCTGATTAATAATAATTTCAACAATTGATGGATGGAAAATATCACAGTCTATTTTTTACTGGGAAATATGAATAATGTAAAAATAATCACGGTAACGATTCATCACTGTTCGCACGACGTGCGGTCCGATATATTTTTACATCATTCTAGTTGCATGCTAGATAGAGTCACGTTGTAACGGTTTGCAACTACGGAACGCGTAGGTAGCAGCCTAAGAACGGCAATATGTTGCCCTTGTTTCAAATTTGGAATATCATTCAATAGACGATTACAGTAAAATGATGTGCATGAGATCTATCATAGCATAAACGTGTTATTTAAAATAACATTCATTGTTCTTTATACAATACGGATATAAACAATTTTTGTCGCATAATTTTATAGACAACTGTTGTGATAGCTGCTCTCTTATTCTCTCTTTCCTATCCTATCCTATATATTCTATCTTCCCTCATGTACATATCATGTAGATATAAATTCATTCATAAATGCTATAAATATATGCTAATTTTACACACATTCTACGTATATCGTTTACCTGACAGTAATCTAGTATTCTGAAAATAACTCGAAGCATCAGCCGCGCCAATGATCAATATTATCGAATAATTATTACAATTTATTGACTTTTTGTGCACTTATAATAGTAGACGACATGTTTCGTCATGAATAGGAGTAAAAAAAAAAAAAATTGATGCGCATGGCAACGACTATCTTTATAATACAAATATTTTGTTTTATTGTAACATTTGTGAATGCAATTTTCTTTGTAATACGAGATATCTTAAAATTTATCAATAATGGATTGCACAATATTGCGTTTATATGACCTTCGTATAAACATCGTGGAAAGGCTGTGGCATTTACTTATAATATGTTTCATTTTTCGTCGATGTCGCTGCTCTATTTTTGCGTACATCGTCTTTCTAGCTGGTTAACATGAGGAGAGGAAGTCTTTATACCGCGACGAAAGAACCGATTCTCTTCAAGTTCGCTGTTCGTTCTCCACCCGTCATTCGCGGCTTATCTAATACGGTGCAAAAGCTTTTTCATTAATCACCATGGTAAGATTAAAAAATGAATAGTTTGCTAACGAAAAAAAAACTTTTAAATTAAAAACTTGATTCGGAAAAAGTCTCAAGTTGTTTAGAAAACTGTACATAAAATTTATCATCCATAAAAAAGAGAAAATATCCTTCTTTTTTTCAGATAATAGAAAATATTTAGAATTCACTATAAAGAAGTTTAGATATGTTAATTGTTAGCTAAATAGGTTTACAGTCTATTATTTTTAATTAAAAATACAATTGATGAATACTGGATTTTCTGTTTGTAACAAATATTCATAGGAGGAAGATGATCAAAAAGTGGCTGTGATGCGTAAAGCATTTCAAATGTTTGATACAACGAAAAGTGGTTTCATTGAAACTATGAAAATCTCAACGATATTAAATACAATGGGACAACTGTTTGACGATGGCGAATTAAATGCTTTGATCGAGGAAAATGATCCTGAAGGTCTCGGCAAAGTGAACTTTGATGGTTTTTGCAAAATCGCCGGTCGGTTTCTCGAAGAAGAGGATGCGGAAGCGATGCAAGAGGAACTGAAAGAAGCATTTCGATTATACGATCGTGAAGGCAATGGATATATTACCACAGCTACATTGAAAGAGATTTTAGCAGCGCTCGACGATAAACTTACCAGTTCCGATCTTGATGGAATAATCGCGGAAATCGATACGGATGGTTCCGGTACAGTAGATTTTGATGGTATGTATGTATGATGCGCGCGCACACACACACAACTATTTCATAATTAATGATACATTGCTCGTATGCAGTAGAGCATGTTAAATTGAGTAGAAAAGTCTTCCGATCGTTCAGCATTATGTGCGTTTGCGATTATTAAAAGTGCGACAAGATTTTTGCACATATGATCCATAAATGATAAAGTATTTGCGTATAGCGCACACTTCCAGGAAGCATTTTGTCATGTTTCTAGTAATTGCGAACTCTCGTGATGCTGGATGGTCATATCTTATCACGTGGATATGAGCTTGACGATCTTTTTTCATTAATGATTCAGTAATTATGAAAATTGCAAAATCGTAAAAGACTTTTCTGCTCAGTTTGACTCACTCCGCACACAACTTGCATATAAACATTATATCATAAGAAAGTTTGTATATATACAAAGTATTTATATTTAATATATAATTTTGTATCTGATAATAGGTATCTGGTTACAATTGTATCACTTTTCGTGAACAGATAGAGCTGATCATATCGAATAAAAAATTCCTGTACTATTTTGCAAGTTTTGTAATTATTAATAAGTAATCAATTTAAAAAATGTCTGCTAATGAACATGTATTATGTGCGATGTAGGATGATAGAATTGTGACCAGATACTATGTATAAAGTTATTAACGATACGTAAGCAATTTAATTATTATTTATTTTAATTTATTATGTCTATAGAATTTATGGAGATGATGACTGGAGAATGATCGAGAACTATTTGATTCATGTCATTCTAAAAAGATCGCTAAGAATACAATAAACTTTTTTAATAAAATGATATTTACATAAAAAGACTCAATTTTACTATCACTGGTTAATCTCAACATTAATCTGTATATGTAATAAGTAGGAAGTGAGAGAAAACATATAAAAAGGAAGGGATAGAAAAATATTTGTTTTATAAGTAAAGTATTTTCACAGATTGCGTTTTAGGGCAATTTATTAATTGCATTTGCTATAATAAATCAATAAATCTTTTTTACTGAACAAAAAATAACTTTCGATCGAGCATTATTATATTTAGCGATGTTGCTAAATATAATTATTATGTATGCTATAGGAACATTTTACTGATAGTGTACTTCGTTGCTGAGTTGGCCTTCATGATGAACATAAACAGTCTGAACATAGATGTTAGGTACGGAAAGAGCACCGGAAGTCAAGGGTCTGTCCAACGGATAGCCAAGAGGTTTGCCATCGAGGGAAATAGCGCCACCGATGATCTGAGAAATGGGCTTATTCTGATAATATCTGCTGACGTATCCGTCCTGTGTTCTTTGTCCCTGACCCAAGATGCCTTGGAAACCACCAGCGTGGTATTGTCCGCTACCGGTGTATCCTACACCGAGTCCCTGCTGTTGTTGACTCTGTCCTTGATAAGTAACAGGGTATTTGCCTTGGAGTCCACCTATAACTCCAACATTATTTTGTTGGCTGTGTTGATATTGCCCCTGGTAGATATGTTGAAGCGGACTCCATTGTTGTTGTTGTTGTTGTCCATGAATATATTGTCTCTGTTGTCCGTGCTGTC